AGCAAGGCGGGGCCACCAGAAACGACGGCGCAGTTGCTCAAGCATACGGGTGGACCCAGGGTGACCAGCAAGAGAACCTTCGTGATAGCGAGAGAGGAGATCTCGATGAAGGATGGTGTCAGCAGGTACCACTATCTGCTGGTGATCACCATCTGTACCGAACCAGAGACCGTTCTTACGATGCAACGGGTCAGTGTTATGCCGGTTCGAACACCATTGGTCAGAAGTGTAAGTACGATGCAAGCGATCCATAAGTGTGGGTTCTGTATGCATAGAGGAGGGACTCGCGACTAGCAGGATAGCAGCAGAGCGATGAGTCGTCACAGCAGCGACAGGATCAGAGACAGCAGACAGAATGGTGGCATGCAGCGATGGGTGACGACTAAGAGCGTCAGCCACATTAAGTGTCCCCTTGCAGTGTTCCCATGCAAAGTTGAAGCATGACATGTAGCCAACAAGTCTGTCGACAGTGCAGTGCAGGCCCTATGGCTGGATGTCCCCCCTTTATGGCCCCCTAGACCCCTTGACCCTCATGAAGGGGGGCCCTTAGCCCCCTTAGCCCTAAGGCAAGGGGTCTAGGGGGCCATAAAGGGGGGACGTCCAGCCATAGGGCTATGCGATGCGAACTGAAAGTCCAAGGCGGTTGACCCTGCCATCTAGGGTCCCACATCATCCATTCACCCGAAAGTCCGTACAGACAGAGGATTCAACAATCACCATCAATCAAGCGTGGGAATCTTGGTCAAGTGAGACCGCAACTGCACATTTGGACAGGTATTTAAAATCTGATGCTCCTGACAACGTCGGGGAGCTACCCAGAAATCATACCCAGGACTTAAGACTGCCTCACAAGAGCGCAGTAGTGCCTGCAGACCAGACCACACCAAACAATATAATAATGTAAATCAGGTCATCCTAATGCAAAACACTCCCCGCTGTTGTATTACCTAATGCCTAATGCCTGATCGCATTCTAAAGATATACTGTACACAGCTGCCTACATTTGCCATTTCACGGGACTCAGAGAATACCGTTGTCCCGCCCTACAGATATCCCGGATTATATGCCACCGTCACCACCGCCACCACCACCAACACCACCGCCTCCACCGGTGGAACCACCACCACCACCGGTGCCACCATCTCCCCGTCGTAAACCTCCTCCCTCTCCCCCTCCCCCTCGGCATCCGCCTCCCAGCCCTCCGCCCCCTAACCCTCCGCCTCCCAGCCCTCCGCCCCCTAACCCTCCGCCTCCCAGGCCTCCGCCCCCTAATCCCCCTCC